CTTCTGTAGAAAATTAACACTCTTTCTACACAAACCTGCTCTGGTCATACTAGTAGTTAACGTAGTTATGATAGAGGTGAGAATGCCGGCCTTTTCAAAGAAGAGCTGCTTGATATCCGTTCGATATGTGAGCCTGGTGCAGCTCATTCACTGTACACGCGTTCCGACTGAATGGACACTGCTGTACTACCAAGTTCTGGGGCGCCTACCATTACCTGACACCAGCCTGGCTCATGCGAGCATGGGTGAGGCTTACCCTTCAAGCTGGGCTCGCCTCTGCAGGGTGTGGCCTGTGTGCCCTACAATTACTGTCCTTGTACAGCATCCATCCAGGCACCTTAACTGAATACAGCTGGTACAGCCTTACCGTTGGAAGTGATTGGCGCTGCGGCCTCCAGCCCGAAGCTCAGAACGGGAGAAACCCTCCCTCTGGTTTGTACTCGAGTTTGTTTCATTGGGCAGAAGATACTGGCAACCATAGACCGGCAGGCGTAAGACTAAGAGATTATGGCTGACTACTTTGCATACTCTAGTTTGCCTGACGACAACTTTCGTCTGCTACATCTAATTGGACTAGATGAGGGTGGCCGGGTCAAATGCACTCTCACAGACGTGCCTCGCGATTCAGCGCCACGATACGAAGCAATTTCGTACGCATGGGACAATCAGCAGCCCTCCACTCCTATCATCTGCAACGACAAGAAGCTCATGATCACCCCTTCTCTCTGTCTAGCCCTTAACACCTTCTATTCGCTGAGTCAGCCTTGTCCGCTCTGGGCCGACGCCATCTGTATCAATCAGTCAAACAATGAAGAGAAGTCGCGCCAGGTCCCATTGATGGACAAGTATTACAATGAGGCCCAGAGAGTACTCGTTTGGCTTGGGTCCTCTGGAACCTACACCGACCTTGTGATGGACGAGATAAAGGCACTAAACAAGTCATTGGAGACCATTGAGAGACCCATCTTGATTGCCGACAAAACACTTCAGAGCCACGGTCTACCTCTTCAGAACAATCCGCTTTGGCAGGGCATTAGCGAGATCTTTGCCCGTAATTGGTATCGACGCCTGTGGGTCGTGCAGGAGGTCGCACTTGCAAGCCATGTTGTGGTCTTCTGCGGTTCAAAATCCATTGAATGGCATGAACTTTCGTCTCTAGCCGATCACTTGGGACGTACCGGTCTGACCTCCCTTGCTCGAGGCAACGTAAATGTCGATCCAAGCAAGACTGATGGTTTCGACGCCATGATGGTCCCTGATTTCATCAAAGACTTTCGAAGTCAGGGCAAATCCTACTCTCTGAATCGTCTCTGCCATTTTGCTCGTTCGCGTGACACAACAGAGCCAATAGATAAGGTCTATGCCGTTCTTGGACTGATTGATGAGGCGGTTCGAAAAAAGATTAAGGTTGACTATTCATTGGAAAGTCGTCAGACGTACTGGAAAGTATACATCGACTTAGGGACCGTAATGTTACAGGAGGATCCAGGTCTTTTTCTGCTTCAGATAGCATCGTCCAAAGGAAGACCGCCGGAACTTCCGTCCTGGTGCCCAAATTTCAACTCGACATCGGATGCCCTGATGCTTCCTCGAGGATTCTACAAGACTGGTATGACCGGCGGGGACTCTGTAGAGCATGACCGGACGCCTTATCTTGGAAGAGCCTCAGATAGCAAAGGTATCAAGCTGCGTGGACTACACGTCGATGAAATCGCAGAGGTAGTGGGTTCCTCATGGCAGTGGGATCGGGAACTTGCCCAGCAGAAGGGACCGGATGGGTGTGCGGCGAGGGGTTGGAAGTGGATGAACGAATGCCGAGCACTTTCATCAAGAGTACTTCAAATGCCCAATGCCATTCCCGAGCAGCTGGTTCGCACGCTCATAGCCAATATCCTTCATCAACCTGCCACTTATGCACCTGATCCAAAATGCCTCTGGGAGTCCGTTTTTCCGGCAACAGTCTATCTTCAAGCTGTTAGAGATGTAGGCACACTCGCCAGCCGGCACATGACCCAACATGAATTACTTTGTGCGCAGCGATATCTGCAAGCATTGAATATGGCTTGCAGTGGACGCAGGTTTTTTGTCACCAAGTGTGGTTTCCTTGGTATAGGACCTCTGGAAACTAAAGCGGGAGACCTGGTGTATGTATTTAGAGGTGCTCAAGTTCCCTTCCTTTTCAGGCGGGAATTAGCTAAAGACTGTTTCGAGCTCCTTGGGGAGGCTTACGTGGACGGCCTGATGGACGGCCAAGCATTTGGCGAAGGACAGCATCATGGTGACAGGATTGAAACAGTCCTTACCGTGATATAGCTAGCGGCCTTCTTCCCCACCAGATGCGCTATTGGGCTGGTTTGCAGGTGACCTATAGCCAGTTGCTCACCGATTCGTTTGATTCAACTTTATGGGTATGAGCTTCTTGGATATCTGTCTGCCGCATCCATAGCAAGACCAAATAGTTGTTGAGAAAATGGCCCGAAACAGCTCAAAAGATAGAGCTTGTTTGGAATATCAAACCAGGGGGGCACACATGCGAAGCGAGGTGCAATGACTTGATGTCCATTCTCTGTCATCCTCGCTCACCCTTACTCATTCACTCTTTTTACTGGGCTTATCTGGTAGAGCGGCAGTAGGTCGGAGAGTGGCACAGTGAGCTGGGGACATATTTTATTTCTTTCTCGAGGCCCAGAAAGCGAATCTCAATTACTAACTAGTACTACTATCGAGTAGTACCAGATATCAAATACTCGCCTCGGTCTCATCCCTGGCGGTGATGATATGAGATGACCCTCACCCCTGCACGCCATCTACTCAGACTATAATTACTATTCGACACGAACGCCAAGAGGTGCATTTCCAGCTACGAAGTCGCGCATTAACAGTCCCTTGACGGCCAGGCTCTGGATACGTATGCTGGGCATGCAACGAAATGGCTTGCTGTAGGGGTTCAAAATATCCGCCAATAAACTCAATAGACTCCTCTTCAATTTCGTCAGCGATACCGATTGGCTCTATGAGATAAAACTCGTTACAGCAGCTGTACTTGGCGCTACTATAATGTCAGGTTCTCTCCCTCTCTCTGCACGAGTCCCACCCAGAGCATCTCACGATTATGCAGAGTCTATCTTCGATGCTTCGTTTTCAACCATCAGAACTACCGCCAGTGGACCGAGCACTTGAACCAAATTGGAATACCAGCTTTGATCCGTGACCTTGCAATGTCGACCATAGAACCTACTGCTCAAGGACGCACCGGACCAACGTGTCCTCCCCAGTACAGCCCTTACGACTCGACGCGCCGTACGGTGGTCAACGATATCGAGGTGTACGTCTTCGCATGGCCTTCGCGAGGCGGCGTCATCATCCTCGAGCACGCCGAGGCCTTGGACCTGGAGTTTCTCAGCTTGGACCCTCTCGATCCGCCAGCCAAACGGTTCGACAGCCAACGCGATGAAGACGCCCTCTGCCGACGCCTGCTCCTCCTCGGCGCCAAATGGTGGGACAGCGAGGCGCGATGGCGCTTCATCAAGGCCGCCGACGAGCTCGACGACTCTGCGATCGCGGCATTGGAGGAAGAGGCAGAGCCGGCCCCAACGACGAGAGAGCGTCGATGGGTGTCGGTCTGTTGGCCGACGGAAGGCGGTTTGTGGGTCTCAGAGTTCGATACCAACCTCTGGGGCATCGAGGAAGGGCATAACGTCATTCCCTCCGATGCCACGAGGTTGAGGCTGTCTCGCACGATGGACGAGAGGTGCCAGGTATTGAAGGACCGTTTCAATGGTAAATTTTACAAGGACGTGAGTGAATACAAAGGCCACGCATTCATCAATAGCTGGGATTGGAAAGATGCGGGAGAAGTCGGCCCTTTAGTGAAATAACCGTGCTGAAAACTAAATCGTGATTGGCAGACATTGTTCAAAGCAGGACTATGAAAACCCAGAACAGCATTTCACCAGCAGATCTAAGCAGCAACATAACCATATTTCCCTCCATTTCGCCTTCACCTTCAATTCTGCTGTGGACGCTATTCCTAGACCAATGCTTTCTGCGGGACGATCCTTGCTGGTGTTGCACAGACGAATCGTCATTGTATGCTAGGCATCGTATACGTCGCTCTCTGTCTCCTTTAGCTCCGGGACAAAGTGCCTAACTCTAGCAAAGTCTATGAACTGGGCTCTCTCGTCTTTTGTCCGGCTATCGATTGATGAGATCTTTGCGAGGCATGTCATATTAAGTTATTTTTTTATTCAATTATTACTATTATAGATGTAATACATCTTTTTCAGAGTGAACAACTATTAGGCATTACCCAAGAAATAGGGGGTTGTCTCGGGGCAGCCAGATTCGACAGCCAGATTCGATTTCTGCGGATTCGGCGTGTCGGCGTTTTGGGGCTTGGCAATATAAACGCCACCAAAATTTGGCGGGGAATTTATCACTCAAACCCCCCTATATGACTGCATAAGTATCTATCAGAGTGCTGTTCAACTAGAGTTGTTGTGAAACCTATTGCCTATTTGAGACTCTCCATACATTCTATGGCGTTGCATCTAGTATTTGGGCCTATTTGCCTCGTTTCGGCTGATTCTGCTTGCCCTCGTGCATAGCCTTATAGTCCAGGGTAGGTCCTCTAGCCCGTTTTGGTCGTGCATTCGTCTGTAACAGGGCAGGAGCTGTGGAGGCAGGTAGAACGAATGGATCCTCCTCCTCCTCCTCCTCCTCCTCCTGCTGGGGCGTAGACAAGCTATCCTCGAACGGTAGCGGCGTTGCCCTGGTAACTGACTCCTCCGGAGGCGGCGGCGGCGGCGTTGCTCTGATGAGAATCTCATCCTGTTGCCCTGCTATATCAGCAACGTCTCTAGGACCAAACTGGGGCATCTGCACTTGAGTAGAAGCGCTCCGAGTCATATTAATAGCAAGTTGGTCTCTCTCTCGCAGTCTCTGCTCACGCTCACGAGCGTTGAGCTCTCTAGCAGCTATTTCAGCCCCTGTGAGCCCTCTAGCGTTAGCCTTGCCATGAGCCGCTTTACGTACCCATTTCTGCTTTGGTACAGGTAAAGGGTAGGCCACAGGGACCCCACGACCCTCATACGCAGCCTGCGCAAGACCTAATATCCTCCTATCAGATTTGTTGGTATCCAGTTGCTGAATCGAATGATAGGGCCATTAATCCACTATCGAGGGTATATTAATGACTTAGGGATAGGCTGACTACTTTTGATGATAGAGAATAGGTAATGTTTGCAGGGTAAATACCATCAGAGAAGTAGCTGACACTGACACTGTTTATTATCTAGAGAGCCTCTTGATTAGCAGCTATATTCTTAATTAACTCCTACTCATCGCAAGCTTGTTAAGGGCAAATAGGCTAATTTCGTCGAATAGAAATCGAAATACAGCTTTATCGTGTTGTAACTAACATGGGCGGTCACGTTTAGATGAATCTTCGTCTAAATTAAGTGTTTTGAGGATAGAGATAACTGTATTAACAAGCCGTTTGACGGATTGTTTAAGGGATAGCTGGCTATTAGTCATCATACAGAGAACTGAATGATAGCCCTCTGATTAAGAGCTTAAGGTACAACTAAGATTTATATACTTATCTATATAGTAATATATTACTTGCTCCTCTTTTGGTACCCAGATTTCGTATATATATTTCTTCTTAGTAGGCTATAGCTTCTTTATAAGCTTTTTACGGTTGTCCTTAAGCTCCTGTGTAGTTGCGCTCTTGATATAGATCTAGCAAAGGTTACTCAGAATCTCTACCTCATCCTTTTTATATCCTGAAGTTCTGAACCTTTTCTTTATAGCCTTAACAGCATGCTAGTCACAGCTTTGTAATACAGCTTTAGGTAGTGCCTTAGGGAGAGCAGAAATCAAGCCACTAGCTTGGTCGCTAATAACAACTTGATAAGAAGGGATATTATCCTCAGATTTGAAGCATTTATAAGTAAGGCAATCAAAGAAGAATTTGAACAACTCCTTACTCTTTAAGGGGTAATAGCTGAACGCTACAGGGAAGGTTGACCCTGAATTCGTTATACTAACGGCAGTAAGGAGAGGGAGGCGAAGTTTATTCGTATTAAAGGTACTATTAATAATAAGAACTTAATTAGTAACGAATTTCTGAGCTATAAGAAGCTATTTTAGATAAGCAAACCAGATTTGAGTAAGTCGCTAAGCTATTAGCTTGCCCTTAGTGCTGTATTTAGTACTAATATATTGATAATAAATAAATTTAGCGTTATTAAGAGCTTTAAAGAGGCCTTAAATTAATTTAGAATCTTTCTTATTTATAAGCTAATTTCAAATAAGATTATAGTATTTTTTAGCGCTTAAAAAAATACTAAAATCCTTACTCTTAAGGATCTAATAGCTCTTAAAGTAAGGTACAATATTCTTATAGTGCTTTTGAGCAAGAGTAACAAGTTAACAATACTCAGGGAGCAGATTCTGGTTCTCTGTGTAAATTAAAGAATTCTCTACAAGGCGATAAGAATGAGATAGCTCTAGAGCAACAAGGCAAAAGCCTTTGACGCTAGAGCCGCGCTTGCCAACGTCCTTAAAGGAACAAAATACGTACTAAATACACCCTTTTTGCTTTATATGCGTTGCATCTCGCTATCAGTTACTGATTATCTTGCCCTCAGGATCCTTCTGCGTTTGATGCTCCAGCTCTCTGTAATTTCGAGTCTCCTCATCATGATGAATGCACCAAAAACGCCTACAAGGGTTTCTAGGGTCTCTATGGCCTCGAATCGTTATAGCAAAGCCCTCCGCCATAGCGAATACATTCAAACGCTCCTGGCACTGTTCAAAAGAGTCGAAAACTTCACCTTTGGGAGCAGGAGGAAGGCGCCAGGCAGGGTCTCTATCATTAACGAAGCTCTCAATAGCATCACGGAGGTGCACAGGGCACCCAGCCTTTGCTTGCCAGGGCAGAGCCATTGCAGAGACTCAACACCAAGATATCTATATTAATGTCTATTTGAGAAGCAACAGCAGCATCAAATCACACAAATGGTGGTGGTAGAAAGATTTTCAGGAACACTACATACAAATTACTATGGTGCGGTCACATTTAGGCCGCTCGGCGTGCCGGAACGCCGATATGCCGAATCCGCAGAAATCGAATCTGGCTGTCGAATCTGGCTGCCCCGAGACAACCCCAAGAAATAGTCAATGTATTAATTAAGTTTACTGGCTCGAAAAACGGAATTAATAGCCACTTTAGATCAAGATAACCCTCCTCTTCTGAATTAATCATTCTTACAAATAATTCTTCTTTTTCAGTTCATTAAATGCAATTCAATAAAAGTTGTCTTGTTTTAAGAAAGGAATGAAAGGGGTAGAAAGAAGATCCAACACCCTTCCTGCCAAGAAAGTGGAATGTCACTTTCAAGTACTGGGAGAGTCTCGCTAAAAACCACCGAAGCACATCAACACGTCAACGTGTTTGGTCTGTCCTCATTACCGCTCGTTTACATATAGGAGAAGAAGCTTCACAGCACTCCTAGAGCCGTAAGTTCGCTGAGGCGCCAAAGAATGATTCATAGGCGTTTGCTATGGTTTCAAACGCCTGAATAGCCAGATCCTATCTTCATGTTAGTTTGTGACGATGGACCACTACAATACGAGGCGATTCCACACGGTGACATGATCCGACTGTTCGAGTTAGAACCAGGTACAGATCATCATCCATTGGTCGGCAGCCTTCGATTAGTGCGAATTGACCAGATGCCGCCTTACGAAGCCATTTCATATGCTTGGGGCGACCCAACAAAGACGGGATGTGTTGGGAGCGGTGCATTCGCGAAATACGATTCTCTAGTTCTGCGACTAGCACGTAATTAAGAATATCGAAAAATGGCTCGCTGATAAGGGTTATTCTAAGGAGATTCAGAAGGAGATGAAGTCGCTGTTATGGACCTTTATCAAAAGCAATACTCATACTGATTTGGAGGCCAATAGAGCTGAAATCTACTCGAAATTAAGACCAGACGAAATCAAGTATCTGCGTGATTTCTGGGGCCCTAAAGAGACGCAATTTCTACGAATCTATACGCGTAAGTATCCGAATTTAGGCGCTTATTCGAATCAACGTTCTGAGAGTCTTCATCCAAGTACTACAGATATCCTTAATAAGCAACTGCGTATAGAGGAGGCTAGTCGTCGACTTGGTAAGACGATACAGTCAAAATTGAAGCAGCTATCTGAGAAGGAGGCTGAAAATAGAGGTAGGGTACCCTGTACGCTTGATTCGAAAGCATTTGTTCTTCTAGCAGATACTATATCGTTTTTCGCTATTTCAAAGATATCCCTTGAATGAGAGGCTACAAAAGAGGAGATGAATAACGGCTCTCTACGCCCTACGCCCTTCTGCTCTGAATGTAAGTTACTTGTTCGTTTTGGCCTCCCTTGCAAGCACTATCTTGCGCAGCCATTCGAAGATGGGGCTCCTATCCCTCGATCCTTAGTACACCCTTGTTGGTGGATTAATAGTGAGCCTATTTGTATCGCCAAATGGACACCAACATATCATACTTTTGCCTTACTAACGTCTCCTCTACGAAATTCTGCTTCCTACTCGCAGCACCCTTATATCTCTCCTAATAGGAATCAGATTACAGGGCTTGGTCTGCAAATCCTTGAGGCTAGGGAGGCTCTTACTGGCTACGCTTGTACGCGTTATGATCGAGCAGCTACAAACGTACAGAAAGGCCTTGTTGATTTTGCTGATGAGAGGATGAAATAGGCAATTCAAGAGTCATGATAGGATTAATAAGTGACTTATGACAGAAGCTGAGGCAGCAGAGCGTGACGCCAATGATAGAGAGCAGGTTGCTGCTCAGGAGGCACACCAGGAGGCTAATAT